CTTTTTTTTTTTTTTTTGATACTGGGGATTGAACTTGGGTCCTTGCACTTGCAAGGCAGGCCACTGAACCACTGAGCTAAATCCCCAGCCCTTAATTACTTAAATTACTTTTTAAGTCTTACTTTTCTCATTGCTGAGACAATACCTGACCCCAAATATCCAAAGTTAAAGGAGGAAAAGTTTATTTTGGCTCACAGTTTGTAGAGCTTTTAGTTGGCAGCTGACTCCAAGGCACTGGTGTGGCAGAGGGGCATCTTGGAGGAGAAACAGTCCATGGCAGGCAGAAGGGAGCAAAGCAGTGAAGTAGCCAGCGGCCCCAGGAGCAGCCCTCTTTCTGACCCTCGTAGTCTATCCAGGCTGCATAGCCATAGGGTGGGCAGCATTCACACCCAGGGCGGGCCTTCCCATTGTCCACAGCCAGAAATAGGCCAAGCCAATCCGTGGACTAATGTAGTCACCACACAGCCTGGATCCCAGCACCACACACCCTGGATCCAGCCCCTCTGCAGAGCCCCACCTATGACTGTACTGTACTCGAGGACGTCTATTGTTTATCTTACTATGATACAGACAAGTTCAGGAAGCTGGGAGATGTTAGTGTTGGGTGGCCTCGGAGGTGCTTGCTTGTTATTACAGCCAAGGACGAAGGAAGCTTCCTTGGAGCTGGGCTGCCCTGTGGCATCAGGCAGTGTGTGTGTGGGGGGTCTGGTTGGGTGGTTTTCGGGTTTCCCCTCCCCGGGGAGCAAGTGGTGGGAGGCAGGGCCTGACTCTCCTGTCCTCACAAGGCTGGTGAGCTGCTGCCTCACGTCTGCCTGCTGTGAGGACCTCGCCTCAGCCCTCAGTGCCAGCTGCTCGCTGACCAGACTCTACGTCGGGGAGAATGCCCTGGGTGACGCAGGGGTGGGCGCTCTTTGTGACAAGGCCGGCTGGTCCTCGTGTCGCCTGCAGAAGCTTGGGTGAGTGTCGGGGCCTCGCAGCAGAAAGGCAGCCTGGGTGGTGGGAGACGGGTACTGCAGAGGGCAGCCTCCTGTGGTCTGAGGCTCAGACTCCTCATGCAGGGCTGGTGCTGGACCTGCAGGGCCACACCATAGGGCCAGCAGGTCGGAGGTTCAGCTGCCAGGCTCAGTGGCGGTTGAGAAGGCCGTGTCTGTGCCAGGCAGGAACCCTTGCTGGTGCCCCTCAGCCGCGCAGTGTGACAGTACTGTTGTGCGACGGGCGCTCGCTCCGGGGCCCTGTGGCCCTGTGTGTGAACCTGGTGTGGCCCCCGCACAGGGACGGTGCTTGTCCCCTCGCAGACTCTCTGGCTTCGTGCTTTGGTCCTTTCCAGGGGTGCCAGGAACAGCTGCCAGTCCAGGGCCCCACTACCCACTCCGCAGGGTCTCTGAATCCTGCCCAGCGTCCCGACCCGCCTTCTCTGCGGGCTGCTGGACCCACTGTGCCTCGTGCCTGCCAAGACGAGGCCGCTGTGCCCTGGCCCTTGGCAGTCACAGCAGGTTCTTGACGCTGGGATTCTGCCTGAGCAGTAGAGCACAAATGACAAGCAGCCATCACGCAGGGTCTGGTGTCTGCTTCCTGTGCTCCTGGTGGGTGGTGGCAGGCGGACTCCAGGGACACAGAACCATCACAGTGCCTCGGGGTGAGGTGTGGGGCTTCTCCTCCAGGACAGCCACCCCCAGTGGCCCACCCCGAGTGTGGGCCCTTGCTGTGAGCTCTCGGTGCCCCAGGGCGAGTCCCCAGGGTTCTTCCCAGGGCCTCTTCCTCCTGACAAAGGGTGAACCAGACTTAGGAAGGGCAGCAGCACATGCATTTAGTGAAGGTGGGAAACAAACATTCTCGCAGAGGGACTGGGCTGCTGCTAGGCTCACAGAGCCGAGGAGAAGGGGAAGGGGTCTTTTGCACCCCACATCCCTCTCATGCACATAAGGCATCCGGGCAGATACTCACTTGGCATCAGCCCTGAATCCCATCCAGAAGCTCGCTTGGCTTCTTGTCATTGGTAAATGAAAGGTCAGCCAGGTGTGGTGGCACACGCTTGTGATCCCAGAACTGGGGAGGCTGAGGCAGGAGGATTGCAGGGAGTTTGAGGCCAGCCTGGATTAAATACTGAGTTCAAAGCCAGCCTGGGCTACATAGCAAGACCTGGTCTCAAAAGAAAAAAAAAAAGTCAGATTGTTTGTGTCCATATGCAAATGAGGAGTTGAAAAGAGCATCTTCTGATTGGTCCTTCCAAGACATTGGATTAAAAACACACTTTCTGGTTGTTTCTGTGTAGTGGTGCCACCGTCACATACTGGGAGTGCCCCGTCCCCCGGGAGTGCCCCTTACCCTGTTGCCCTGTCTTGTTGTCACCTAGCCATTTTTGGACCTTGATTCTGCCCAAACTATCTAGAAATGCAGTGAGCAGGTGCCTATGTCTTTATTCTGCCAACCAGAGCATCATTTGACAGTCACAGGAGGGACCCAGAGGTCCACATGCGCACTCTGACAGTCAAGGCTTATGCCCTGTGCCAGGCCTGCACACGCCCATGCCCCTCTGTCCCCTCATTTATCCACCCATCCGTCTACCTATCTGTCCACTCACCCACCAATCCATCCATCCATCCATCCTCCCATCCACCCACCTGTCTGTAAGAGTCAGGGGAAGTGGACTTTGCTGGAGACCCCTGCAGCAGGTCCCAGCCTCCTGTGAGCCACCACAGTACAGGCGAAAGGTTAAAGAACAAATGGAACGAGACTTATAGTGAAGCTGAGTCTTGGGTCCTGGTCAGTGCTGCTGATGGCAGCAAAGACAAAAGTGTATCCAGTATTTATTGAATACAGTTGTGAGAAGGAATAGGAGGCTGGGGAGCTCAGTCATCTAGAGAATCACTGCCAAACACCTGGCATGATGGCGCCAGGCAGGGCTGTTAGGGAGGAGGCACTGCTTATCTTGCTAGGATAGAAGAAACCGGTACCAGGACCAGGCACAATTAGCAGGTGACCCACAAGGTCAGTGAGAAGCGATAGTTCAGGGGAAAGGATTTTAATTGGGGTCACTCTGACCTCAGCTGCACATAATTTAGCAGGGCCCTGCCACTCCACAGACCAGGACTTAAGCCTCCGTGACAGCCATTAGCAAAGGAGCAACGCTAGCCCAACTCTGCTAGCTGACATAATATTCCATCTGAGTCACACACGGCTTCGGTCTGACTCCTGATATAAAACAGTACGGCCGAATTAGGGAAGGCAAGGAGCACGTGCCACTCATAGCCCGCTAGTACTGGGCAGGGGCGTCTGCTACATCTATCTGCTCACACACCTACCAATTTGTCCACCCACCCAACTGCCCATCTTCCCTAATGTACCCTACACATTAGTTTGTTAGGGCTCTATGACAAAGTTCCGTGAACACGGTGTCTTAATTAGCAGGCACACATTCTTGTGGGGCTGGAGTCTGGGACTAAGGTGGCGGCAGGCTGGTTCCTGCTAAGAGGAGACTGCTCCTGGCCATTTTGCAGTGCCTGGTGTTTTACGACAGCCTTGCTGGGAGCTGCCCTGCCCTGGTGGCTGCCCTTGTCCTTGTGGACTCCTGTGCCTGTGTGTCTCACTGTGCCCAGAGCCCTGGCTCTGATAAAGAACCCCATCCTGCTGGGTTTGGGCCACTGAGCGCTCGTGAGGCTGGGTCCACCTAAGTTCTCCTTCTGCAGGGCTGCAGGCCAGACTTCAACACAGGAAGCTCTGTTTTGGGGAGTACAATTCAACACTCCATTTAACACTTACTTATATCACTCTATTTAGTAATTCAAACCAGAACCGTAATAGAAATGCTTTCCTATGATTTGCATTTATCATGACTAATGGCTAAATTTCCGCACTGTACATGAAGACCCGTAGATGGGAGCATAATATTCCATAAAATTCACGGCCACAATCCATTTAGCCTTTCACCAGATAATGAACTTCTAGCGAAGCTACTCACTGTCACGAGTGATGCTGTGAGAAGCGTGTTTGGCTGCAGCACCCTATGTGTGTGAGGTTATTTCTTTAGCAGTGGGCACCGTGAAGTGGAACTAGTGAGTCGAGGACTTCCCGGTGGTCATGTGTTCGTGCTGCTGTCTCGGGAGTCCTTCCAGGCTTTTGTTTGGCGTGACTCTTAGACACCGGAGCATGGGCAGAGGGACTGTGTCACTCGAGGTGTGCCCGGCCCTGGTTCCCAGTCCTGTGCCCTCTGAGGTGCATCTGAGCACAGTGGCCCAGCGATCCGGTGGTCTAACACGCTCCACTCCGCCTGTGCATAGCACATCAAAAACTCCCAACTCCATACATCTTCCAGCAAACCGTGGGGTACAAGCTGCAGGGAGCACTGTGCGGGCAGAAGGAACGGAGGTGAGCAGAAGGAGCCAGCGAGGAGCTGGTCGGGAGGGCGGTGGCACTGCCGCCCCTGCCTGGTCCTGGCGCCTGCCACGTGGCCTGCTCCATTTCAAGGCCTGCCGAGTTTCTGGACGGTGAAGGGAGAAGTCCTCTCTGTGCTTTGTTTGTGAGCCGCACACGATTCCACGAGCCTCAGATTTCCAAGCTGCAGAAGGTTGATATAGCAGCACAGCGGCCTCTTCAGGTCTGTTCTGGAGGCACGGAAGACAGGCTGAGTGGCGTCCACGGCCAGACAGTACGTACGCGAGGCGAATGCAAGATCGGAGCCGCTGTGCCTTGGTCTTCCTGTGTGTGAATCCCAGCAGTGACTGCTGCCACCATCCTGTCTCTCAGAGGCTGTGGCATGGTTTCCTCAGGTCACACCCAACACACTGCCTCGGGTTCCGATGCAGCTGCTCAGCTGAGGGGCCCGGTGTATGGGGCTGTGCAACATGCCAAGAATGCTCCTTGTTCTTTAATTTTGATTTTTTGGGACAGGGTCTTGCTGTGTAGCCCAGATTGGCCTTGAACTCGAGGTGATTCTCCTGCTTCAGCCTCCTGAGTGCTGTCCTATGCTTTGCTCTCTCCATAGCTTGGTGAATTCCGGGCTCACGTCCACGGGCTGCTCTGCACTGGCCTCCCTCCTCAGGACCACGCAGAGCCTCACGCATCTGTACCTGCGGGGCAACATGCTCGGGGATACAGGGCTCAAGCTGCTCTGTGTGGGGCTCCTGCACCCCAGCTGTGTGCTTCGGATGCTGGAGTGAGTTCCCTATTGCTGAGGCACAGGGACAGGTTGGGCATGGAGTGGGGCACCCACCCAGGCATGCTGAGTGCCAGAAGGGCTCTGTCCTGGGGCTGGGTCGTCTCGGGCTCGGGGCGGCAGGAGGCATTATGTCTCAGCGGCAGAAAAGTGCAAAGCTGAGTTCCTTCCACCACTGCCAAGGAGGGGTCGGTGGCTTTGCATTTTATATGGAAATTTGGGGAGAGACAGCATTTGGAAACAATCAACAAACTTGTGTTCCTTATTTGACCTGCACGATGCAACAAACTTGAAGGAGAGCCCCACGTCTGAAGAGGAGAGAAAAATAACTATTAGCATGTAGGTTTTATCCAGCTAGCTAAGCCTGTGAATTTTTTTTTTCTTGCTTTTTAAATTTTTTTTTTTGTACTGAGGATCAAGCTCAACCTTGCACTTTTGAGGCAGGTGGTGGCAACACTGAGCTAAATCCCCGGCCCCTTTTGTTTGTTTTTTTGAGGCTGGACTTGAACCCACTGTGTAGCCCTGGCTGGCCATGAATTCATGGTGATCCTCCTGCCTCAACCTCCTGAGTGATGGGATTATGGGCGTGACCATCATGCCCGGCTAATGCTGTGATTTTCCTGCAGTAGTGAGCACACAGGCTAGGGTCTCAGAGCCTGCAGGCCTGGCTGAGTGTGCATTTTCTGTAGGTTGGACAACTGTAGTCTCACCTCGCACAGCTGTTGGGACCTCTCCACGGTGCTGACCTCCAGCCGGAGCCTGCGGAAGCTGAGCCTCAGCAACAACGACCTGGGCGACTTGGGCATCACGATGCTCTGCGAGGTCCTGAGGCAGGGGGCCTGTGTCCTGCAGAGCTTGCAGTGAGTGTGTGGCTGGGAACTTGGGCTGGGGTCAACCGGCTGCCCAGGCTGTCGGTCCCTTTGTGATGGCTGGTAGGGGCGTTCTTGCAGGTTCTTCTATAGACACAGCTGGTTCAAAACATAGCAGGCTATGCATAATGGCACTTGTCCATAGTTCCAGCAACTCGGGAGGCTGAGGCCAGGTGTTTGAGGTCAATCTGGACAGCAGAGTGAGTCTCTCTCAAAAACAAGCCCCAGAAAGCACACGGGCACGAAGTAGTCTTTAGAGCTCACAGGTGTGGGGCTAAGGGAAACGAGGTGAGACGTTAAGGCTCAGAACGGAGGCTTTCTGAGGAGCACCACCCAAAGTCCTCTCTGCATCTCCAGGTTGAATGAAATGTACTTCAACTATGAGACCAAGCGTGCGTTGGAGACACTGCAGGAGGAGCAGCCAGGGCTGAACCTGGTGTTTGAGCCTTCTTGGTAGGGCAGGAGCGGGACGGACCCCATTCACCTGTGTCCCGACAGCTCAGCGGTGCATGGGGAGCAGACGCTTCTGTTGCTGCCTCGGAGACACGGTTTCCGCCCCTGCTGGGGGAGGTGGCAGGAGGGGCTCACCGAGCTGCTGTCCCAGCGCAGCTGCTCAGCAGGGAGACACTGTCCTCCCTCACGTCTGTCCTCACCCCAATTCTCTTTCTTTCTGCTTTCCCCTTATTTATTCTACTTACTTTGCCCCCATCTCGTCCCTGTGTGTGTAACTGACTGTAGCACAGAACCCTTGACTCTATGCTGCGCTGCAATTTTGTGGCAGCTACTTATTTATTGTTATAACAATTATGTTTTCTAATAAAAGTAATTCATACTTATTTTAGCTCATTGAAAATTCAGAAGTATATGAAACCATTTTTTGGTATTGATCAAGTTAAATGCTCTTAATTTAAAAAATGTGCCTAGAAATCTTTAAAATCATTTATTTAAACTACTAATGTCGTTTACTTCCCTCATTGCTGGGATAAAATACCCAACACCCACGACTAAAAGGAGGAGAGGCTGATTTTGGCTCACGTAGTCACCTGGGGACGTCCCACTGGGCCTCACCTCCTGATGGCCCCCTCAGCCCTTCACCAAACCTCCAGCAGATGGGCGGCACGGGAAGCAACGTCTGAGCCCTAGCACCCGGGTCCAAGTCGTCTGTTCCATCTCTGTCCCCCAGAGCTGCCAGTGGACCTGGGGAGCACGGGAGGAGAGGGAGGTGTCCCGGGCTGGGGCAGCGCCTGAACCTTCTTTGTGAGCTCTTCCTCCGTCCTTGCAGCGTTTCTCTCAGTCCCAGCAGAGCTTCCCCTGTAGCCTGGGCCGCCGTGGGCAGCTGGTCCCCTCAGGAGGCCCTTGCTGTGGGCCCCTGAGCTGCGAGTTCCCAGCCTCTGCTTCCAGCAGCCTCACTCCAGGCTCTGCGCATTTATCTGCGGTCCGCTTGCGGGGGTTTGCTTCCTTCGACTTTTCTGATCTCTACCAGGTGGGCTCCTTTCAGTCCTGGTTTGCAGAGGCCTCAAGGCCAGGTCGTGACCCACAAGCTCGGACGGAGTCCGCGTGGGGCTGGCATCCTCCAGCTCCAGGACAGGCGGCTGGTTCTTTCCTCGCTTGCTTCCTCTTCAGGGGCGGTCCAAGCCCCGGGGCGGCCTGGCTCTGCCCCTGCTGGCCCTGCTCCCCCGCACCCAGGCTCTGCCCGGAGCGCCCTTTGCAGAGGCCTCAAGGCCAGGTCGTGACCCACAAGCTCGGACGGAGTCCGCGTGGGGCTGGCATCCTCCAGCTCCAGGACAGGCGGCTGGTTCTTTCCTCGCTTGCTTCCTCTTCAGGGGCGGTCCAAGCCCCGGGGCGGCCTGGCTCTGCCCCTGCTGGCCCTGCTCCCCCGCACCCAGGCTCTGCCCGGAGCGCCCTCT